TTTGTATATCAAATAGTGTAATATACATGCATGTACAACATTTAAATAATATCCATTTACTGTCAAAGGCAGATGTATGCTGGCTGTATATACTGTGCGTATACATTTATATATGTGTATATATGGATGCTGTAGTAAACCACATCCTGTGTGTAAATAAAGTAACTTATAACATTATCCAAACTCTATTTATTCCAATATTTACTTAACTCGTATACACTCTTGAAGTATTTGCAGCCCTATACACAGTTTACAATAACTGTATACATACTTAGTTGAGACCAGGGACCGACTGGATATGTAAAATGGTCCTAGACTTTTTGACTCAGTATAAATTAGTGTATTAGTATAATAATATAACATTAAATAAAAAGTATAATGTTTATATAACAGTAAAAGCCACCAGGATTTCTCCTGGTGCTTCTGATAGTCAGTCCAACTGTGTTTTACACCTACTATTAACATGGACCTTTGTTAATGCACGAGAACCACTTTAACCTGTCAACAACCCATAAAACAATGTATGTCTACATGCACATGGGCTTTATCCGTTGTAACATAATTATAACCTGTGTTTAGCAGTGCTTTAAAACCTAACGTAATTTAGATTCAGAGTGTCTTTATTTTTAAAAGAAGAAAAAAAAATCAAGACACCCCAGATCGGCCCTTGCTGCGTCTCTCTCAAGCCCCTTTCCTGTCTATGTTCAGCTGTCCTATCTAATAATCTTCGAAAAATTATTTTTAATTAGACGTTACCTGCCGGTTAAATGCCAAATGAAAGTTCTTCTCATACAGAATCACAGATGATGTAGTACAACTGAATACTGTACTGAATGTGCCACAACGATGCAATAAAGTTTGTTTACTGTCTATTTCATAAGAAGACAAGAACATGACGATATTAATAATGAATAAGAACACAAACCGTATCAGTATTTCTTTCTGATGTTCCTCCCTCTGTGTCTCCGCTCTGTGGACTCCTGTGTCTGAGTATCTGCTCACAGCTGTACTGACTGTATATCACAGCCTCTCTCTCCTTCTCTCTCTCTCTCTCTCTCTCTCTCTATCTCTCTGTCTCTCAAATTCAAATGTTTTATTTGAATAAAATCAAACAGGGGTAATGAACTGACTGACCTATTCATTAATAAAGAATACTGTGCTGTACTGTACTGTAGAGCTAGTGTACACATACCATTTGTGTGCAGCTACAATCTTTAAACATACAACTAATTGGTATCAATATTTGCTTAGAAAAGCTCCCATATGAAGATATTTGAAATAACAAACATGACATCATTGTGGCACATTAGTAAAACAGTGAATATAAGTATCTAAAGGTGGCGTTAGAAATCAATAAAATCTTTTTTCATTGAAAGTAAGCCTCATTCTAAAATGTGGCCATAGCAGATGATTAAATTAACTTTTTTAACATGTTAGTTTAAAAATATAATCTAGAATAATGTGACAGCATTTGAGACCAAACTGGAGTGGCAACTAGGGTGCCTGTGTAGTTTATTTTATTATTTTATTGACCCATTAGATGAACAGATGACAGGATTCAAATGATGTGCGTATTCAAATCAAGTACAGCCATTAACTGTGTGCTCTGAGAGTGTTTCTGTGTGCACGGTTGTGTTATTTTAATCACATTTGTGTTTCACACATCTTTTAATTTGCTGTATATACACTAACTTATGTGTGCTGTAAATTCAACCTTTCCACAGTTTCCCTCTACAGCATCACACTTGCATACAGCTAAATAAGACATGAGGTCCAGAAACAATTCCTGCGCAATTACCAAATAATCTACCATGCTTTTATACCATATAGTGTAATATACATGCATGTACAGCATTGAAATAATATCCATTTACTGTCAAAGACAGATGTACGCTAGCTGTATATACTGTGTATATACATTTATATATGCACTTTTGAACTATTTGCAGCCCTATACACACTTTACAATAACTGTATACATACTTAATTTGGACCAGGGACAGACTGGAAATGAAAAACGGTCCGGGACTTTTTGACTCAGTATAAATTAGAGTGCTAGTATAACATTATAATATTAAATAAAAGGTAATTTTACCATTGTTTAACAATAAAATCCACCAGGATTTCTCCTGGTGCTCCTAATGGCCCGTCCAACTCTCTACTACACCTACATTTAACATGGACCTTTGTTAATGTACGAGAACCACTTTAAGCTGTCAGCAACCCATAAAACAATGACATCTGAAATGCACACAGATAGACAGAAACTTGATATAATACATTTGATAAAATAACTTGTTTAACACACAATCAAAACACACTTGAGTTTTTTATACAGATATCTAGATGTAAGCATTCAGTTGAGAGGGGTAGATACATGAGTGTGTAGTGAGTATGACAAACAGTAGGAAGGATGTCTCTCCACTTATTCTCGTCATAACTGTGAAGGCAACAAAGCAAACAGAGCAGGGATGGAGGTCTGTCTGATGGTTGGTCTGCCACTTTGGTCCAGACTGAAATATCTCAACTATTAGACGATTGGCATTAAATATTATACAGACATTTAAGCTGACTTTAGTGATACCCGGACTTTTCCTCAGGCGCCACCATGAGCTTGACATTTGCATTTTTGAATGAAATGTTTTGACAGCTGTTGGAAGGATTTAAATTAAATTTAGTTCTAACATTCATGTTTCTCTCAGGATGAATTGTCATCATTTTGGTGATCCTTTCATCTAACACCATCATCAGCTCAAAATTTCACTTTTTCTAATACTTTGCCTACAGCCTCAGATGTATTTTTTTTTAATGCAATTTAACAAATATTAGCTAAAACAGTAAGCTTAAACATAGTTAACATTATACTTACGAAATGTCTGAATGTTGTGCCATGTTGGTGTTAGCATTCACAACATAAGAGTGCTGCTAGCATGGCTGTCAAATCTTTTTATTTGTTAATCTATGTAATCTACATATCAGATCTTTTATCCTTATTTGGTGTTGTTCTTGCAAGACATTAATATTCCCGCTCTGTGTAGAAACAGTAAAGGTAACACCAAAATGGACGGGAGATTTAACCAGACTTCAGAAGTTGTCAGCGCACAATCAATAACTCCTGTTGACACAATAAAAACAGACTGGAACAAATTCCAAAAACACCTCAACATCAGCACTCCCAGTATGGCCACAATGGTGTAGAAAGCCCTCTGCTTTGATTGGTCAACCCTCTCCCTGTCCCCACCCTGTTTACCTGGCCCTGGACGAATGAGAACACAGAGAACAGAAAGACTGCAGAAGGAGATGACAACGAAGGAGAAAACCAAGAGGCTGAAATCCACAATTGAGCCTACGTATTCTAAAGTCAGCAGGCATAATCCTCCAAAGGAAAGCAGCCAAACACACCCAATGCTGATGTTCCTGATTCTGATCCCTCTCTCTCTTCTCAGGCCCAGATAGATGATTGGATGAACAACAGCCAGGTAGCGCTCCACACAGGTCAGAGTGTTAAAGAACGTCTCTCCATACCAAGTTAAGCTCCAAAGATAGAGCCCAATCCATAATGTAGTGACATGATCACTATAGATACCACAACAGCAGAAGATGCACCCTAAGACACCAATCAGCTCCATGGTGACCATGTGGTAGGTGAAGGCGTCTGAGTGACTCGTCATTGCTGCTGTGGAGGTGGAGCGCTGTTGCCGCCATCGTTGAAGACCCAGGTAGAGGATGAAGGTGCAGAGAGGGACGAGGAGGAGGGTGCTTGTGATGCTGTATGCCGTGAAGATTAAGGAGCCTGGTCTGGTGATGAGGCAGTCCACAATAGAAAAGACATAGGAGTTGTTGGACGAATGGTTAGGATGAAGAAGGGAGTCATTGAAGGAAGAGGAAGAGTTTACAGACATATCTGGAAGAGAAAAAGACATGATAATGAAAATGAGAAAATGTATACATTACATCTATTCCATGTGTATCAAATCAATGGTCTAACAATAATGGGTATTGTAAAGGGAAATGAAATTGGGGAAATAATGAACATTTATCCCCTTCAAATTCCAAAAGAAAAAAGAAGAGAGCGAACAATGCGATGACCTGCAGACACGTCACAGGAATATTATGATAATAGTTCAGGTTAAATCTCACCAAATGAACAAATTCATACATAAAGTCCCAGTGGTCCCTATGTTCATCCCCATATCTTGATGTCTTCTTTGGTGTATCTCTACATGCACATGGGCTTTATCCTTTGGGCAATCATTATAACCTGTGTTTAGCAGTGCTTTAAAACCTAATGTATCTTTAATTTTAAAAGAAAGAAAATATAAACAAAGAAATAAAGATCTGATTTGTGATTAAGTTTCTATAATGACAAAGGCTGAATCCTTGCTGCAGCAGCTATGGGTTCAAATCCAACCTGTGTCCCTTTGCTGTGTATCATCTCCTCTCTCTCTAGCCCCTTTCCTGTCTATGTTCAGCTGTCCTATCTAATAAAGTGAAAAAGCCCAAAAAACTATATTGTACATTACTTGTTCAGCACCAAGATACTGGTGAGTGCAAATGATTATATTAACCATAAAAGGACTAATTATAGCACTTCCAGAAAGTTGGGGTACTTGTGAGAGAAGAATTAAAAAATAAGAGTTAAACTGTGTACAGCAGAGGCTGATATATCCCAACTTTAATACCTGCTCAGAGTCAAGGTTCAGATTTTCTGGATTTCCCAAAATATAACAAAAAATTATTTTGAATTAGACGTTACCTGCCGGTTAAATGCCAACTGCTTTAAAAGTCCATGCCCCCACTTTACAACCCACATTTTCAAAATGTCTAACGTTCGTAGTCGCAAGCCGAACCCTGAGTTCTTCTCATACAGAATCACAGATGATGTTGTACAACTGAATACTGTACTGAATGTGCCACAACGATGCAATAAAGTTTGTTTACTGTCTATTTCATAAGAAGACAAGAACATGACGATATTAAAGATGAATAAGAACACCAACCGTATCAGTATTTGTTTCTGATGTTCCTCCCTCTGTGTCTCCGCTCTGTGGACTCCTGTGTCTGAGTATCTGCTCACAGCTGTACTGACTGTATATCACAGCCTCTCTCTCTCTCTGTCTCTCTCTCTGCTCTCTCTCTCTCTCTCTCTCTCTCTCTGTCTCTCAAATTCAAATGTTTTATTTGAATAAAATCAAACAGGGGTAATGAACTGACTAACCTATTCATTAATAAAGAATACTGTGCTGTACTGTACTGTAGAGGTATTGTACACATACCATTTATGTGCAACTACAATCTTTAAACATACAACTAATTGGTATCAGTATTTGCTTAGAAAAGCTCCCATATGAAGATATTTGAAATAACAAACATGACATCATTGTGGCACATTAGTAAAACAGTGAATATAAGTATCTAAAGGTGGTGTTAGAAATCAATAAACTCTTTTTTCATTGAAAGTAAGCCTCATTCTAAAATGTGGCCATAGCAGATGATTAAATTAACTTTTTTAACATGTTAGTTTAAAATATAATCTAGAATAATGTGACAGCATTTGAGACCAAACTGGAGTGGCAACTAGGGTGCCTGTGTAGTTTATTTTATTATTTTATTGACCCATTAGATGAACAGATGATAGCATTCAAATGATGTGAAGACAGAGTGTGTGCGTATTCAAATCAAGTACAGCCATTAACTGTGTGCTCTGAGAGTGTTTCTGTGTGCACGGTTGTGTTATTTTAATCACATTTGTGTTTCACACATCTTTTAATTTGCTGTATATACACTAACTTATGTGTGCTGTAAATTCAACCTTTCCACAGTTTCCCTCTACAGCATCACACTTGCATACAGCTAAATAAGACATGAGGTCCAGAAACAATTCCTGCGCAATTACCAAATAATCTACCATGCTTTTATACCATATAGTGTAATATACATGCATGTACAGCATTGAAATAATATCCATTTACTGTCAAAGACAGATGTACGCTAGCTGTATATACTGTGTATATACATTTATATATGCACTTTTGAACTATTTGCAGCCCTATACACACTTTACAATAACTGTATACATACTTAATTTGGACCAGGGACAGACTGGAAATGAAAAACGGTCCGGGACTTTTTGACTCAGTATAAATTAAAGTTCTAGTATAAAATTATAACATTAAATAAAAGGTAATGTTTACCATTGTTTAACAATAAAATCCACCAGGGTTTCTCCTGGTGCTCCTAATGGCCAGTCCAACTCTGTACTACACCTACATTTAACATGGACCTTTGTTAATGTACGAGAACCACTTTAAGCTGTCAGCAACCCATAAAACAATGACATCTGAAATGCACACAGATAGACAGAAACTTGATATAATACATTTGATAAAATAACTTGTTTAACACACAATCAAAACACACTTGAGTTTTTTATACAGATATCTAGATGTAAGCATTCAGTTGAGAGGGGTAGATACATGAGTGTGTAGTGAGTATGACAAACAGTAGGAAGGATGTCTCTCCACTTATTCTCGTCATAACTGTGAAGGCAACAAAGCAAACAGAGCAGGGATGGAGGTCTGTCTGATGGTTGGTCTGCCACTTTGGTCCAGACTGAAATATCTCAACTATTAGACGATTGGCATTAAATATTATACAGACATTTAAGCTGACTTTAGTGATACCCGGACTTTTCCTCAGGCGCCACCATGAGCTTGACATTTGCATTTTTGAATGAAATGTTTTGACAGCTGTTGGAAGGATTTAAATTAAATTTAGTTCTGACATTCATGTTTCTCTCAGGATGAATTGTCATCATTTTGGTGATCCTTTCATGTAACACCATCATCAGCTCAAAATTTCACTTTTTCTAATACTTTGCCTACAGCCTCAGATGTATTTTTTTTAATGCAATTTAACAAATATTAGCTAAAACAGTAAGCTTAAACATAGTTAACATTATACTTACGAAATGTCTGAATGTTGTGCCATGTTGGTTTTAGCATTCACAACATAAGAGTGCTGCTAGCATGGCTGTCAAATCTTTTTATTTGTTAATCTATGTAATCTACATATCAGATCTTTATCCTTATTTGGTGTTGTTCTTGCAAGACATTAATATTCCCGCTCTGTGTAGAAACAGTAAAGGTAACACCAAAATGGACGGGAGATTTAACCAGACTTCAGAAGTTGTCAGCACACAATCAATAACTCCTGTTGACACAAGCAGATTCCAAAAACACCTCAACATCAGCACTCCCAGTATGGCCACAATGGTGTAGAAAGCCCTCTGCTTTGATTGGTCAACCCTCTCCCTGTCCCCGTCCTGTTCACCTGGCCCTGGACGAATGAGAACACAGAGAACAGAAAGACTGCAGAAGGAGATGACAACGAAGGAGAAAACCAAGAGGCTGAAATCCACAATTGAGCATACGTATTCTAAAGTCAGCAGGCATAATCCTCCAAAGGAAAGCAGCCAAACACACCCAATGCTGATGTTCCTGATTCTGATCCCTCTCTCTCTTCACAGGCCCAGATAGATGATTGGATGAACAACAGCCAGGTAGCGCTCCACACAGGTCAGAGTGTGAAAGAACGTCTCTCCATACCAAGTTAAGCTCCAAAGATAGAGCCCAACCCATAATGTATTGACATGATCACTATAGATACCACAACAGCAGAAGATGCACCCTAAGACACCAATCAGCTCCATGGTGACCATGTGGTAGGTGAAAGCATCTGAGTGACTCGTCATTGCTGCTGTGGAGGTGGAGCGCTGTTGCCGCCATCGTTGAAGACCCAGGTAGAGGATGAAGGTGCAGAGAGGGACGAGGAGGAGGATGCTTGTGATGCTGTATGCCGTGAAGATTAAGGAGCCTGGTCTTTTGATGAGGCAGTGCATAATAGAAATGATGTTGGAGGTATGGTCAGGATGAAGAAGGGAGTCATTGGAGGAGGAGGAAGAGTTTACAGACATATCTGGAAGAGAAAAAGACATGATAATGAAAATGAGAAAATGTATTCATTACATCTATTCCACGTGTATCAAATCAATGGTCTAACAATAATGGGTATTGTAAAGGGAAATTGAATTGGGGAAATAATTAACATTTATCCCTCCAAGTTCCAAAAGAAAAAAGAAGAGAGCGAACAATGCGATGACCTGCAGACACGTCACAGGAATATTATGATAATAGTTCAGGTTAAATCTCACAAAATGAACAAATTCATACATAAAGTCCCAGTGGTCCCTATGTTCATCCCCATATCTTGATGTCTTCTTTGGTGTATCTCTACATGCACATGGGCTTTATCCTTTGGGCAATCATTATAACCTGTGTTTAGCAGTGCTTTAAAACCTAATGTATCTTTAATTTTAAAAGAAAGAAAATATAAACAAAGAAATAAAGATCTGATTTGTGATTAAGTTTCTATAATGACAAAGGCTGAATCCTTGCTGCAGCAGCTATGGGTTCAAATCCAACCTGTGTCCCTTTGCTGTGTATCATCTCCTCTCTCTCTAGCCCCTTTCCTGTCTATGTTCAGCTGTCCTATCTAATAAAGTGAAAAAGCCCCCAAAACTATATTGTACATTACCTGCTCAGCACCAAGACACTAACTGGTGACTGTAAATTATTATATTAACCTTAAAAGGACTTTAATACCTGCTCAGAGTCAAGGTTCAAATTTTCTGGATTTCCCAAAATGTAACTCTAAATAATTTTTAAGTAGACGTTAAATGCCCACTGTTTCAAAAGTCCATGCCCCCTGTCGTACTTTACAACACATTTCTTCAAATGTTTGTAGTCTGAAGTCTAACTCTGAGTTCTTTTCATTCAGAATCACAGATGACATTGTACAACTGAGTTTATAAAACACTGTACTGAATGTGCCACAACGATGCAATGCCAAGTTAGTTTTCTGTCTATTTCATGAGAAGACAAGGACATGACGATAGTAAAAATGAATAAGAACACCAACCGTATCAGTATTTGTTTCTGATGTTCCTCCCTCGGTGTCTCCGCTCTGTGGACTCCTGTGTCTGAGTATCTGCTCACAGCTGTACTGACTGTATATCACAGCCTCTCTCTCTCTCTCTCTCTCTCTCTCTCTCTCTCTCTCTCTCTTTCTCTGTCTGTCTCTCTCCTCTATTATTTTATTCAAATACAACATTTGTATATCAAATAGTGTAATATACATGCATGTACAACATTTAAATAATATCCATTTACTGTCAAAGGCAGATGTATGCTGGCTGTATATACTGTGCGTATACATTTATATATGTGTGTATATATGGATGCTGTAGTAAACCACATGCTGTGTGTAAATAAAGTAACTTATAACATTACCCATATTCTATTGATTGCAATATTCATTTAACTCTTATACACTCTTGAACTATTTGCAGCCCTATACACAGTTTACAATAACTGTATACATACTTAATTTAGACCAGGGACAGACTGGAAATGTAAAATGGTCCTGGACTTTTTGACTCAGTATAAACTAGTGTATTAGTATAATAATATAACATTAAATAAAAAGTATAATGTTTATATAACAGTAAAAGCCACCAGGATCTCTCCTGGTGCTTCTGATAGTCAGTCCAACTGTGTTTTACACCTACTATTAAAATGGACCTTTGTTAATGCACGAGAACCACTTTAACCTGTCAACAACCCATAAAACAATGACATCTGAAATATTTTAAATAAAACCATTTATTAAAATGAAACCATTCAAGCCACATTTCATACTTGTTTAATCGTGATTATTCAATGAAACAAAACTAACATTAGGGAGTGTTTAATACAGGAAACAGATGCCCAAGATATACAGAAACTTGATATAATAAATTTGATAAAACAACATGTTTAGTTACCAGAAAGACACAATAAAAACATACATAAGTTTTCTTTTATACATATATCTAAACTGGTGTGAAGATCCAGTTATTTCATTCTGTAACGGGATAGTGGGTTGTTGTTTTTTTTATCATAATATTTTATTATTGATTTATTATTTGCTTTTTATTTAGTCTTGTCTTCTCAATCTTCTATCACATATCTAGTAG